AAAATAAATCTTTCCAGAATTTTTTTTGTCTATTAGCAAATATCATCCTGCTACATTGTTATTGGGCTTGTCACCAACAGAAGAATCAACAGTGTGGTGGTTAGTGCTGTGGGATTCTGGGACCCCAGGGCTATTTCCCTCTCCCATTCCCCTTTAGTAGTTCTTTTATTGGTTGGGTGGAGACTGGCAAGGGACTGAATCAATAGAGAGAAACCATAGTTCTTAAACAAAACCAGTTTATTATAATATAAGCTTCTTAAGGACAGAAAGCACTTAAGAACATACAAATCTTTTAAACTGTGATTAGTGTGATCATCTGAGTACTTGTCACTGCACTAACTATGATTACTTAGGGCAGGGGTGTCAAACTTGTGGCCCAGGGGCCGGATTAGGCCCCCGGAGGGCTTCTATCAGGCCTGCAGTGTAACTGGCTGTCTTCTGCTTCTTCTTCCAGTTCTGCTGCTGCTGCGTCATCGTAGTTTTGCAGCTTATAGATACACACCTGAACAGCATACTCAAGATTACAACAGCACGGACATTTTGATGCAGTAATTCAGAGCAAGAGGTGTCAGTTATCAGACACTGTTAAATAAACAAAATATTGCAAGAGTGCTAATATTTTAAGCATGTTTTTATTTTAAGTAAAAAAAAAACCTTTGTGTTTGTGTCCTTTATAAAGTTTATATCTCCACTACCTGGCATTATATTTTATGATACACATGGTTTGGCCCAGCGAGGTCTCATTTATGTCAGATCCGGCCCTCATTACAAATGAGTTCAACACCTCTGACGTAGGGTTTATCAAGTGAGGGTCTGATTTATTAATTACAGTCTTAAATGTGGTTTCACAGGATGTCTAAACGCAAAAATCCTGGCTTGTTCTCTAGCATCACCATCACAGGCTACGGAGAGAAGGGAATGAAGCCAGCATTTGTCAAGACAAACCAGGATTTGACAAGTTAACCATAGTTAACCATAGTTAAACCAGGGAATTTGCATTGTGTCTGAAGCAAGCTGTCAAATGAGTAATCCATTATGCAGTACTAGTGAAGTAGTACAATTGGATTTTTTGTCACTCTTCAAAACTGTGGTGTCATGGCCAGATTTGACATTTATCACAATTGATTTATTTTGCAGGAAATGCAAAGATTAATATTGATATATTGTTTAAAGTTACTGCAAAATTATTGTGAATTCATAAGCACTCATGACATAATGGTTGTTGGCTAGTATAAACATCAGATTGCATTATTCTCATAGAATGGGAGTTGCTGTAGAACTGCTCCTTTCAGTACTATTCATAAGTAGCTATGGATGGCACTGGAGGGAAACACACTGTGGTTTCTCCCTAAACATGTTGACTTTTTGGAAAATGCATTAACATTGGCATATTGGCAATATTAAGAACCTCAATGCGGGCTCCTTTCCCATGGCTTCAAAAGGCTTATCATGAGGTAGAGAAGCAGCAGCACTGTTGTGGTTTCAGCATAGGTGGACTGATGTGATTATAGGGTTGCCAACCTCCAGGTGGGTTAGTAAAACAGTAAATCACCGTGTACAATTAAACAATATTTGTTGGTTTTTATATGCAATGTTTAGAATTCAATTATTAACAAAATTACAACAATAACACTACAATATGCGATATAAAGCTTAGCAGTACATACAGAGTAATACAGTACTAGTTACAGACAAACGACGGAGTTCTAGTACACTATCCGTTTGCGTGTCCTTCTTCAGGTTTGTCATTCTGTAATTATTTCTTCATTAGAATGAAGTGCTGCAAGCTGCAATGGAGTGTAACATGCTTAATAACCAAAAACATAAAAATTACTCTAATATATAGAGGAGCATTTTACATTTTATAAACTCACCCATATTTCAAAATGCTAATTCTTATACAATTTTTAAATGTACGCTATCGCGCTTAGATTCTAGAAAAAACCAGACAAGCACAATATGTATTTCACAATTCTCCAATGACAACACATACAAAAAAAATTCAAAATAAAGATAACATTTTAAAATTTACCAACCTGGTGACTGGGGAGCTCCTATAGCAAGCTCTAATGTGACTGGGTCTACAGCATATAATAATTGGCTAAGCTTCCCTCAGTTTGGCACAATGTCTCAATGGAAAATTTGTAGGCTGCAACAGGTGTTATGTTTTAAGATGGCATGTTCTATCTTAAAGGTACTCTGACCATTTACAGAAAAGAATTCAAGTCAAATTCCTGATTTAATCCTGATGGAATCAGTATGTGTAGCCTGAAGATAAATACAGCTTCTCTTTGTAATAAAACCTGGGATATATCCACTTGATTATAGGATTGTGATCT